TCGCACCCATTCTGTCCGTACCGTGTAATACGGGCGCACGATCAAGATGCAAGAGCCTTGGAAGGCCGTGTCGACGCCTTGCGGGCGGGGCGCGGCCAGCGAAAGCGGCCAAGGATGGGCCGAAGGGGAAACTACAAGGGTAACCTCGGAAAGTCACTTATCCTTACTATGCTTGTGGATGCCATGACAATGGACACTCTAACCAATCCGATCATTGAGTTAAATATGGGCTTAAAATGTAAACATCATGCTATAAAAATGTTTCAAACATGTTTCTACATGTTTAAAGCATGTTTGAAACATTTCAGACATCTGGAAATTACTACTTGGCAGCATGCTTCCTCTCCAGCAATCGACTTCCACAATACTTTGCGGGTTGACTGCACCCATTTCGATTGTCCCGATGCGCCCGCTGCCCATGACAGCGCCCTGGCAGCCGAGCCATCACGGCGCCTGCCTCCCAGGGGGGGCCCGGCCGGCGGGGCCGCTGGACTGCCCGCCGAGCATGATCCCGACCGCGACCGCGACGACGACGCCGACGACGACGACGGCGACGACGACGACGGCGACGGCGACGACGACGACGACGACGACGACGGCGACGACGACGGCGACGACGGCGACCGCCGGCGACGGCGACGACCGCCGGCGACCGCCGGCGCCCTTCGGGGAGAGAGCGGCCCGCAAAAGCCGGGCGTCCTCGGAGGCCCCGAGCCGCACGAGCTCCTTCGTCATGGCGTCGCGGCCCTCGGGCGGGGGCAGGAGGGGGTGAGGGGAGAACGGCAAGCTAGATGCGCTCGCATTATATCTGACGTCCCACCCCTCCCTCCCATCCCTTACTCTGGCATAGTTACCTTCCCTATTCGCACAGCAGGGCAACGATCGCGAGAGCGTACGCGACGCATGGCAGGGCACGGGATGGCATGGCATAGGAGAGCACGGCAGAGCGTAGCATGCCATAGCACGGCGTGGCATTGCGCAGTGAAGCATTGCATCACAAAGCGTTGCAACGCAAAGCATGGCATCGCACAGCGGCGCAGAACACAACACCGCACAGCATGTCATGGCATGGCGCCAGGTTCTTTGGAGGGTAAGTGGATCGTCTTCGAGAGGTCTGGGCCGGTCTGGAGTCGTGGCTCCATGTCTAGCTCCTTGGGCTCCTCGAAAAGCACCATACAAGGCGGGGCTGATGGAGAGTATCCGCTGGCTCTGCTTTCAACATCGCCTTCTCAAAGCAGAAACGGAGCTCCCGCTTGATATTTCCTGAAAACGACGACGCCCCGCGGCCTAAAAAATCAACGAATCGACACCGAATGTGAGATTCCTTCCGATGGTTTTTGCGGGGGGGCATTTTCTAGAGTTTGGGGCCTATTTGGAAGGAAGGCAAGCGCTGCAGCGGAGGCACGATTCGGAACGAGCGGAAGCGCGGAGATGAGGCCAGCGCTGCAGCGGGAGCACGATTGATATTGTGTAACTGTGACGGGGGTAGGGGGGGGAAGGGGGGCGGGGGGGAAGGGGGGGGGGGGGAGGGGGGGGGAAGGGGGGGGGGAAGGGAAGGGGGCGGCGGGGGTAGGGAAGGGGGTGGGGGAAAGAGAAGGGGGCAGGAGAAGGTGGGCGGCACCAGGGGCCTCGCGCACGGCGTAGAAGAGCGGCGACTGCCCGTTGATGTCGCGCTGGTTCACGTCGCACCTGCCGGCCCAGCGGAGCCCCCCCGTGCTAGGAGGGAGGAGGAGTAAAGGAGGTCTGCTGAAATAGGGAACGCCACATAAGAAGCAGAGCCACTTTTTGGCGCCAAGAGCGCCAGGGCGCACGAGGGCCAGAGGAAGAGCAGCGGAAGGACCTGAGGAGCATCGAGCCCGTTCAGAGCCCAGAGCGGTCCTTATCTCAGCGTTTCGACTATAGAACGAGGAGGCTACCACGATGCGATGGGCCTCAGGATGCGTCCAGGGAAATGCAGGCCGGTGGCGCTTGGCCATTCGTCTCTGGCAGCGCGGGGCATCGAGAACACCCAGAAGTCCTGGAGCGCATCACCATCATCACTTGTCGGCCCTCCCAGGACAGCACCAGCACCAGCCTCGTTCAAGAGCGGGTCAGGGTCCTCGTGCTGCCGTGCTCTCACTGTCTTTCGACGCGTCTCCAGTCTCCCTCTCGAAAAGGGGCGGTGGACCCCTGCCAATGGTGCCAGTGCTGCCGTTGCTTCGTTCTTCCGAAGGTGAGAGACCAACACCGAATTCCAGCAGGCACCAATTCAAAACCGTACCACTGTGGTCCACTGTGCTTACAGCGAGTAACAGCCCCTGCAAAAAGATACCTTAGAGCGCAGGCACGACCGTGCATCCCTCCTTCCTCTCTCTCTCTCTCTCTCTCTTTCTCTGTCTTTGTTTTCTCTCTTTCTCTCTCTCCTTCTCTTTCTCTCCTTCTCTTTATCTCTCTGCCTTTCTCTCTTTCTCCTTCTCTCTCTCTCTCTCTCTCTCTCTCTTTCTCTCCCTCACTCTCTCTCTCTCTCTCTCTCTCTATCTACACACATATCATCTGTATATGAAGACGTAAATGATATGTGTGTTCATAATCCGATCCCTGTATGCTTACACACTGAAGGGGGGAGGAGACCTGCCCCCCCAACTTGAGACCCCTCTGATCCCTGGGCACGGGGACCCCCTGGACGCCTTTGCAGAGGATCCCCCCGGGCTGCCGGGCCTCCTGGGAATTATTGCCGAGCCTAAGGGGCCGTCGCCGCCTCGTCGCCGCCCGTCGTCTGGGCCTGGCTGGCGGTCTGGCGGCATTGCGCTCGCCGTCGCCGCCCCGTCGCAGCCCGTCGTCTGGGCCTAGCTGGCGGTCTGGCGGTTCCGTGGTCGACGTTGCCGCCTCGTCGCCGCCCCGTCGCCGCCCAGATATTACAACACAGATATGCCTTTTTAAAAGAAGATTACAATCTACCCCCTCCCCCGAAATTAACGGAACCCCTTTTCGTGTTGCAATTTACATGCGAGATTGCCCCATCGTCCATCCGAAATTTGAATCCATACCATCCCAGCTGAACCAGCATCCCTCCCCTCATCCTCTGGGAAAAAATGCGCGCACACCCGCTTGTCAAAAAACCTGTGTTCAAAAACTGTTGGCAAAAATGTGACGAACTGCACACGCGCGCGTCGTCACGCGCGCAAGCCGAAATCCTTCGAAACCTGTAGGTGTCATAAGGATTTCCAAATCGAGAATCCCGACAACAAGAAACAATGGTTTCGTAACAGGGATTTTCAAAAAACTGGCGTTCGGGTTTCTGCGACTTCTCAAGAAAACAAAAAAATGTTCTGCTGGGATGCTACGAACTCATATTTAGGATGGACGCTGGGGCAGAATCAAATGTAAATTGCAATACGGAAAAGGGGAGTGGATAAGTCCTGGGGGGGAGGTACACCCTAGTTCTTTTATAGAGAAGAGAATCTAGGGCGGCGACGAGGCGGCGACGGGGCGGCGATGGCGAGAACACAGCCGCCAGACCGACAGACAGGCCTAACGGCGACGAGGCGGCGACCAGGAGGCGTCGGGGCGGCGACGGCGGCCCCATAGCCGCGAGACTAGCCGTCAGGCCCACACGACGGGCGGCGACGAGGCGGCGACGGGGCGGCGACGGCGTTCACATAGCCGCCACGTCGGGCCCAGCTCTTTGAAAAAGAAGCAAGCACCCCTAAGTGCAAGCACTGCTGGGGAAATATTGCACAACATGTATTGCACAACCTAGATTGCGCAACAGGTGTTGCACAAGAAAGATTGCACCACGTAGATTGCACCACATAGATTGCTCAACATAGGTTGCACAACATAGACTGCTAGAAGCATACTGCTTGGGGTCCACTCTGGCTGACATCTGCATTCCGCCCGCAGGCCGAAGTCGAAGGGCCCAGGTGTATGGCGCGAAGTGAAAAAAAAAAACATTGTGCATGTGTACGTATATCTATACTTGCAAATGCACTAGAGCCTTCGAGCGCGCTTCGCCCGCGCTCGAACTAACGGAATACCCCGCTCGTCGTGAGATATCGTTCATGGGGCTGTGGCTCCGGAGGCAATTCCAGCCCGGCGACGCGATTCAGACGCGCTCTGGACGTCCCCTTTTCCCAGCTCGCGGGAGCGACGAGGGCGACGACGAGGAGCACGAGACGGGGGAAGGGGAGGACGAGGAGAGGGGCAGGGGCGTCAGGTCAAGGATGGCGACAACGTCGCGAGGGCAGAAAGGGAAGGATAAGGATGGATGGATGAGAAGAGACAGGGGACTAGTGTCAGAAGCGACGGGATACTCAGGAGGAGAATGATGACGAATGGAGGAGAGGAGAGGTGGAAGATCAGAAGACATGGAGGAAAAGAAACAAGGAGACGAGGAAGGAAGCAGAGGAGGGCAGGGCGACGGCGAGGGGCAGGAGTACGACGTCGCGACCGCAGCTCGTGGCAGGAGAAGGAGGGATGGAGAGAGGAGGAGGTGGAGGAGGGAGGAGGAGGAGGAGGAGGGGAGGAGGAGGGGAGGAGGAGGAGGAGGAGGAGGAGGGAGGAGGAGTGGAGGAGGAGGAGGAGAAGGAGAGGGAGAGGAGGACGAGGAGGACGAGGAGGAGGAGGAGGAGGAGCAAAGAGGAGGAGGGGGAGGAGGAGGGGAGGGGAGGGGGTGGAGGGGAGGAGGAGGATGAGGACGGAGGAGAGGAGGAGGAGGAGGAGGAAGAGGAGGAGGAGGAGGAGGAGAAGGAGGAGGAGGAGGAGGACCTTTTGGACCTTTTGACCAAGCACAGAGGTCGCGCGGGAAGGGGGGAAGGGGAGGGAGAGGGGGAGGGCCGCCAGCGCCGAGCTACTCGTGGTCGCCATTATGGGCCAGCCGCCTCAAAATTGGCTAGCCCTCGGCGTCTGCACCACGGCTCGCACGACTGCGGCCTCTGCTTGCACTCACCGCCGAGACCCCGAAGCCACGACGCCCAGCGCCTGCCACTCCTGCCCTAGCGCCCCCCTGTTCTCCAGGGGCCTCAGGCAGTGTACGGCTCTGGCTGCTGGGGCCCGGCCTCCTCGGGCCCCGCGGCCCCCGCACGCACCATCGCACAGGCCGTCTCCCAGGCACAGGCCTTCCGCGATCGGTGCTGCTCTTCTGCTCTCCGCCCCTGCTGAACGGCCTGATCGAGGGCCGCAGCGGCGCGCGCGACGGCGCCTGGGAGCGCCGCGGGGTCCTCCTGCAGCCGCGCCACCGCCCGCGCCGCGGCCACGCAGGCAGCCGAGCAGCGGCGGATGCATTCCGCAGCGTCGCCCTCCGCTGCGACCACCGCGCGGAGGGCAGTCATCTCCGCTTCCTCTTCGGGGTCTGCCTTCACGGCCCCCCCAGGCTGCACCTCCGCAATCCGATCACCAGCCATCAAGATGAGGTTGACGATGCCATACAATTCCTTCTGATTGCCCTCGAACCCGACGGTGGAGCAACCAGTCTGGCGCATGGCCATCGGCATCCCGTCGTTGACCTCGAAGCCCAACGCAGTCTCGCCGAACTCCTGCATCTCGTTCGCCTCTGCCTTCACGGCCTCGTCGTCGAACTGCCCCGCGCCCGCCCCGACCGCCATCGACCTCGAACCTCTTCTCGGCGAAGCTCGAGCTCTCGATGTCCACGTCTAGACCCAGCACCTCGTGCACCTCGAACCTCTCCTCGACGACGTTCGGTTTCACGATGTCCACGTCCAGATATTCCTGCATCCCGCTCGCCGTGGCCTTCATGGCAACGGGGTTGACGATCTCCTCCTGGACCAGCGTGGCGCGGGCACCCCTCGGCGGGGCCTCCCCTAGCGGGTCCACGCCTCCGCCAGGGAGGGACTCACCGCGCAACGGGTCCACACCTCCATCGAAGGACGCACCGTGCAGGGAGGCCCCTAGCGCCAGGCCAGGCGCGAGGGGTGAAGCAGCGCCGCAACCAGCCAGCGTGTCGTGGGCACCCCTCGCAGGGGCCTCCCCTAGCGGGCCCACGCCTCCGCTAGGGAGGGGCGCACCGCCACCGCGCAACGGGTCCACGCCTCCATCGAGGGACGCACCGTGCAGGGAGGCCCCTAGCGCCAGGCCGGGCGCGAGGGGTGCAGCAGCTCCGCCGCCGAACTGCAACTCGCCGTCGTCCGCCACTGCCTTCATGAAAATAAGGTTGGCGATGCCATCCAGATCCTGCTGCTTGCCCTCGCACCCGACGGTGAAGCAACCAGCTCGCTGCATGGCCATCGGCATCCCGTCGTTGATCTGCCCTGGACGGGCTCCTCGTCGAACTCCTCGGCGCCGAACACCAGCATCTAGTTCAGCTCAAAGTTATTCTCGACAACGACCACATCCAGCGCCGCCAGCACGGCGGCGGCCTGCTCCCCGAAGCCCTCGCTCTCCTCCGCGGCCTCCGCGGCCTCCGCGAAAGCCTGCGGCACGAAAGGCGCGGCGCCAGCACGAAGAGGAGGGCTCGAAGCCGCCTCCCCTCTGCTGGCCAGCGCCGCCTCCAGCACCGCAACGTCGATTCCAGCCGGCCGGGGCGGCGGGCTGCGAGCAGCCCTTGGGGGCGGCGCGTGGCGAGCCGCGCTGCCCTGCACCAGCAGCTCCTCGGCCTCCTCGACGCGCCAGCCCTCGACGCCCAGGAGACGGCCTGCTGCCACCGCATCGCGCATCAGGGGCACGGGGCAGTCCGTCGCGTCGCACAGCCGCCAGTGCACCACCAGCGAGGCCCGCAGGGCCTTTACGCGATGCGCCAGCGCGGCCGCCATCGGCTGCCCCAGCTCCCGACGCCTCTCGCGACGGAGCCTTCGCGCCAGGGTCCGCGCGCTGGCCGCAGCCCAGCCTCGCCCTGCGGGACCAGCATCCATGACCGCTTACGCGCGACCGCGGGCCCGCCGCGGGCGCGCGCCGTGCGAGGGTCTCCCGTGAGCCAGTTCGTTTGAGCCGAAATGATGGCTACGGGAGTAGGAGGAGGAGGAGGAGGAGGAGGAGGAGGAGGCGGAGGAGGAGGAGAGGAGGAGGCGGAGGAGGAGGAGGAAGAGGAAGAGGGAGGAAGGGAGGAGGCCCGTTGGAATTCTCTAGGGGCCTGCTGCGGGGCTTCCCGGGTCCTCCCAGAAGGCTCGGGGGGGGGGGGGCGCCGCCTCGTGCGCCGGGCGCGTGCCGAGGTGTCGCCTGCTGCTGCCCCAGGTGGCCGCCCGTGGGGCGCCTCGTGGGCGCCTCGCGCGCCGCCCGGTGCGCTCGGCGGCCGCTTGGGTTCAGCCGCCCGACTTTAGCATGGCTTGCACCACACAGCCTACAACACACGGCTTCGCGCCACGCAGCTTCTACCGCACGGCTCGAGCCACACGAAGTGCAGCGCCCCTGCCAGCGCCGTACAGCTGACACCTTGGTTTGCGCCACATCGCTCGTACCACATAGCTTGCGCCGCACATGTCAGACCGCCCAGCTTACACCACATAAATTGCACCGCGCAGCCAACACCACATGGCTTACACCATTTAGATTGCGCTGCATAGCTTGCACTACATAACTTGCACCACTCAGCTTGCACCACATAGCTCACAGCATAGCTCATTGCATTCTCCTACCCCACCCCCAGGCGTTATCGGCCCCCTTTCGGATATGTAAATCAAATATGATTCTAACCACATGTCCATCCTAAATGTGAAATCACCATGTCGCAGGCCAACCGGTATCCCCCCCTGAGGTTCCCTTGAAAAAACACTATGCGGTGACATGATGTTCTGACATAACACTTGTTCGCGAATCTCTTGCAAAAAAAACAAGTGCACACGCGCGCGTCGTCGCGCGCGCATGCCGAAATCCTTCGAAAATCTTCGGTGCCGGAAGGATTTCGCAATCGAGCTTCCGAAAAACATACAAAAAACACAGGGTTTCGCAACACTGATTTGCTAAAAAAACTTCCGCGCGAGCTCTTGCGAAATCTTAAGAAAACCATCCTTTTTTCCAGATGTTCACAAAATGCTATTAAACGGGCTTCGCGCGCGCGCATGTCGAAATCTGTCGAACGCCCTTGCGCGAGTGCCGTCGCGAGAATACTCTGCAAAAAAAGGGACGAAGTGCAGACGCGCGCGTCGTCGCGCGCGTAGGCCGAAAGCCTTCAAAACACATCGGTTTCGGAAGGATTTCAAAATCGTGTCCAAAATACATACAAAAACCCAAGGTTTCGCAACACGGATTTTCAACAAAAGCGTGCGCACGCGCTCTTGCGTCGTCGTCGTCGTCCTCCCTCCTCCCGCGTCGTCGTCGTCGCCTACGTCGTCCTCTGTCTTTCCTCGTGTTCGTCGTCGTCGTCCTCTTTGGCGTCGTGGTCGTTTCCGTCGTCGTTGTCGCCGTGGTCGTCCTTCCTCCTCCTCCCTCGTCGTCGTCGTCGTCCGTCGTCGACGTCTCGTCGTCGTCCCTCCTATTTCGTCGCCGTCGTCGTCATCGTCGTCGTTGTCGTCGTCGTCTTCCCTCCTCCCTCGTCGTTGTCGTCGTCTGCGTCGCCGTCATTCCTCCTTCTTCGTCGTTTGCGTCGTCGTCGTCCTCCCTCCTCCCTCGTCGCTGTCGTCGTTGTCGTCGTTGTCGCCGTCGTCGTCCTCCCTCCTCCCTCGTCGTCTTCGTTGGCGACGTCGTCGTCGTCGTCGGTGTCGTCGTTGTCGCCGCCGTCGTCGTCGTCGTCGTCGTCGTCGGCGTCGTTGACGTCGTCGTCGTCGTCGGTGTCGTCGTTGTCGTCGTCGTCGTTGTCATCGTCGTCGTCGTCGGCGGCGTCGTCGTCGTCGGTGTCGTCGTCGTCGTCGTTATCGGCGTCGTCGAAGTCGTTGGAGACGTCGTCGGTGTCGTCGTAGTCGTTGTCGGCGCGTCGTCGTCGTCGTTGTCGCTGTCGTCGTCGGCGTCGCTGTCGTTGCCAAGTGCCATTTGGTACCCACCGTCACGGTCTTAAGAGATTTTACAAACCAAGTTGCGGGTGGGTGGGTGGGATGTTTGCGCGAGCAGTGGAGTGGACAACTCCACTGCGAACAGAAATCCCACCAGCCCTTTGGGCGTGAGTGGTTTAGAGAGCTCTCTCTGTCCTCAACCCCCCAACCCCCCTTCTTCCCCTTCGGGGAGGGGTTTACCCCTCCCCCTACCCCCTCCCCCTGGGCCTGGAGAGGGCGCCCCGCGGGTCGTTGGAGGGGTCTTTTTCGACTCCTGGGAGGGCCAAAAAACGACGACCCTCACGAGGATTCTGCCCCCGACGGGGGAGTGAGAAAAAATGCTCTCCTCTTCTGTGAAGCCAAAATCCTTGCTTTTACGAGGGTGTTGGCCCCATTTTGGCCTCCCGAGGGGGCCGCGCTCATCTTCCTTCATAGCAAAATCATTGATGTTACGAAGGTTTTGGGCTCATTTTGTCCTTCTCAGGGGGCAGCGCTTCTTTGCGCTTCTGAGGAGGTCGCAAGAGGCCCCAAGATGGCCCCAAGAGGCCCCCAGGAGCCTCCCAAGAGGCCTCCAAGAGGCCCCCAAGAGGCCCCCAAGTGGCCCCAAGAGGCCCCCAAGAGGCCCCCAAGAGGCCCCCAAGAGGCCCCCAGAGGCCCCAGGAGGCCCCCAAGAGGCCCCCAAGAGGCCCCCAAGAGGCCCCCAAGAGGCCCCCAGAGGCTCCAAGAGGCCCCCAAGAGGCCCCACGAGGAGCCCGAACGACTCACACCAGGACGAGAGGCCCGAACGACTCACACCACGAAGAGCCCGAACGACTCACACCACAAGGAGGGGCCCGAACGACTCACACCAGGACGAGGCGCCCGAACGACTCACACCACGAGGAGCCCGAACGACTCACACCACGACGCGGGCCCCGAACGACTCACACCACGAGGAGCCCGAACGAGTCACACCAGGAGGAGGGGCCCGAACGACTCACACCAGGACGAGGGGCCCGAACAACTCACACCACGAGAAGCCCGAACGACTCACACCAGGACGAAGAGCCCGAACGACTCACACCACGAAGAGCCCGAACGACTCACACCAGGAAGAAGGGCCCGAACGACTCACACCAGGACGAGAAACCCCAAACGACTCAAACCACGAGGAGCGCTTTCTCTCCCTCCTCCTCCGCCTCGTCCTTCTCCCGCTCCCCCCACAAGGAGGATGTACAAGGAGGCGGGAGGAAGGAGGAACAGGGGAGATATGCGGGGCCAAACGGACACACGCCTGAAAAACACGACTGTCGGCATGCTTCGCATGAGTTGCTGTTGTGAGATGGGCTGGTGGGGATACGCGAAGCGTAAAGAATTAGTTGTACCACATAGCTTGCACCACTCAGCTTGACCCGCATAGCTTACACCACACAGATGGCACAGCATAGCTTACACATCCACACGGCAAGAAGCTGCTGCCCGGGGCCCACGCTGACAAACAGCTGCATTGTGGACTCCCTCTCGACTTCCTCTGAGACTGCTGGCAGGACCCTGCAGCATCTCCTCGTGCACACCTCGTGCGAGACGCCGCCCTCGAGTGCCCCGAGGCGCCGCCTCCCGCGAAGCGAAGGCCCCCGCTGGTGCGACGAGACCGCCGCGCGCACGACCCCCCCGCACACGCGCGCGTGCGGAGCCCCGGACCTCCCGCG